CACTTATTCCCTAATGTAGATTTTGCAGAAATCGCCCCATAGGTCTTTTTAATTAGCAGATTATGTAGATAGTCATAGGAATAATTAAAATATTTAATGGTGAATTTCATTAATTAATGGCAAAAAAATCAAACTTTCCTCCCACTTGAGTTTGAGTCTCAGCATCAATTCTGCCAAAGTTAATCCTTCTAATCGTTCCAACTTTGGCCTCGATACCGATAGCAACTTCTTCAATGGGCAATGATAGATGAAAATCCTCGTGTGTTACATTTTTGGTCTTTACACCATTACCGTAACTGTAAAGAATCTGATATCCCAGAATTTCGTCTCGGTCAACATATGGTAGCTGCCAAGTCAACGCAACCGTCCCTCTCTCAGCAGGAAGCAAAGTGGCGTATTTTGGCGCAAGGGAATCTATTGTGATTAATAAACATGTTATTTGAAACATAGTTGAAGCTATGTGCAATCATGGCTTTGAGAAATGAGCAAAGTGGTGTTTGGTAAGAAAAGAGACCGCTTATCGATGCACATCAAAGCACATCCATCAATGCAATTGGTTGGTGATCACTCAGTTCACTCACTCAGTTCTGCTCAGGTAAGATGATATTATTCAAGTTGAATGAGCCACATAAGCTACACATATTAGCACCAAAGGGTAAATTTAAGAATTACATTTGATGCACTAACATATCTCACTGCATGATTTCGATTTTCTAACATTGATCATATTTTGCTAGCCTATTTCAGTCGTATATAATTCTGTATCGTTTTGGAAGTTAGTAGAAATTAAATTTGATTTAGAATAATTAAACCCTTTTTACTATTATAACTTGCACTCCTCTCAGACACATGGTATGCCAGTGCCATTTCATCTCACACAGTTTTGTTCGCTTCGTTGACAACCATTCAAACTCCTCGTAGCCTCTGCTACCTCCAACATTATTCACCATGTGCACATGTTTTAGGTAAACAAAGTGCATGTTAAGGGCAGCAAACCTCAACAGGTGATATCTCACCATTGCCACTTCCAAGCAAATATGCTCAGTAAGGTCATTTTTCTTTCTGAAGATTTCATAACGAGTGAGTCTACAATCCTACACTCCACCAAAGTAAAATCGCGTTTTTCACTTGGTCTTGTAACTACTGCCGTCACCAGAATAGACCGTGTTTAACAACTGCACGTTATTTTCACTTCTCCTGTCAATCTAATTTCGGAACCAATTGGAGTTACTCACAATGAGTGCCTTTCACATTGATTCAACAAACGGATAAACACTCGCAAATTCGTCTCAGCATGCTTCCGTCGATAGGAAACATTCAATGGGCAGTTTAATAGGGAGATAATTTATATTTCAAGAAAAATATTTACCCTCCCTGTCTGGATCAGAGAGTTGATGTCGAAAAGTGTCAGCTGAAAGAGGAAAGAAAGGAAATGATCAGTTAATTCTACTCTTCCATCATGGCATGAGTACAATTGACAAGTGCTATCAATGTGGAAAATAAGTGTATCGTATGTGAGATTGTGCTTAGTAGTGAGTAATCTTCGAATAGATAGGATGCACCTGAGTAAAATTCAGAGACTTCCTCACACATCCTCATCGATTCCTCCACATTCCATCTGTCAATAGAATCCCCCCCCCCCTCCTGCCTCATTAACTGACTCACCTGCTACCTAATCCATCTTTGAAAGGCTATTTCCTTGCTGAATGAATGTTTGAATTAATGAAACAATGAATATATGAATGAATGAATGACATTCTGGAAACAACTGTGGACATTTTTCATTATTGACTTAGGTTATGGCAGTAACAAACTAACATTTCTGTCAAACAAGTATAGTTGAATAATGGGGCTGAATTAAAAAGATAAAATAACACGAAAAATGCAGTCATTACTTCGTTTTGAGTTGAATTTGCATTCCTTCGGATCCACTTTGTATTCACCTGTCCAATTCTCAGATTTGGTAACAGTTCTCACCACTGCTCTGATCATAGTGTCGCTCTCATTGATAGGAATTTCCAATTGAACATTAGAGGTTATTGTCATTGAGAGCGCACCATCATGAAAGTAGAAAACTCTATAAGTGGGAGCCTCCATATTTTCCATCACTGGCGGAATCCATGTGAGTCGAGCCCTGCTGGAGTTCAACAGAATTATTTCATTGCATATTGGTTTATACTTGCCAGGTAAAATGATACATATGTGATATTATGATAATGTGTTAAATCATTTGGTTTGGTAATTATGAAATACTTCTCAACAAGTCTCAACTGACTACCTCAGACAGCCAATAGAAACAGGCGATTCAAGATCAATTTGTCTGGATTTTCCATGTATGAACTGAACAAGGAACCTAGGCATCGGCTGAAGAAACGAACTAGAATAACAGCAACCACTTCATGCTTATATGTATTGATAGACTCAGAGGCTTATTACAGTGCAAATTGGTTTATACGGGCCAGCTGTAACAATATATGTGTAATCATGTAAATGTGCTCAATTATACGGCTTCGCGACCAATTCATGCTTTTATGTATCGCCTACCTTTAACGGATATAAGAAATCAGCATGAAAATTTGGTTATTAGAGAAAATCTGCTTATCATTGCTCACCATTGTGTGTCTTTGTCTGCAATTGAGCTATTGCCAAGAGGAGAAAGAAGAACCAAGAGGACATAGTTGGCATGATCTGAAAGAATAGTACTGGAGAACGCCTATGTCTTCTCCACTTAAATAGGTCTTACCATATGACGAGGCCAACCCAATTTGCTCCATTTCTTTACTACTTGACTCACCTCACTGCACTGAGCGCCTCTAGAACCAGACATTAGTTGCAGACACTTTTGTCTGACCATACATACTCTGTTGAGTTTTAATTTGTGAAATGCACATGGCATATGCGAACCATGTGATGAAGTCATCTTTTCAATTTGGAAAAATAACTACATTTTTCATGTTTATGTATAGACCATACTGGATTAATTTACAAATGTAATCATAATTGCTAATTAGTGAACTACATCTTGGAAGCACCACTATATCATGGGTGACCTTCATTGGATTCGCAACTGATAATCGTTGCATGTAGACTCATTTGAGTGTTTAAGCGGAAATCAAATGTTAGAATGCAAATAGCTTTTAAGAATGACCCAAAATTAATGTTTTAGAATGTTCTCACTACTTCACCAAATCTCTTACCGTCTTAATATCCATCCTTATTTGCCAATTGATTTAACTTGTTTATTAATCTAGTAGAATAGTTGGATTCGATCTGATATCACAGCGAGGGAAAATACGATATTAATTCAACTATTCAAGTCAAATTCGCAATTTTAATTTTTAAATTTAAGTTAACTTATCACCTAAACAATCTTCTGTTATTGCAACTCATAAGTCAGATCTCCTTCCAAAATTCAGTGGAATTTCAATATAAGTCGGTTGCTGTGTCGCAATCAAAATTGATGATTTTATAGCCAAAACGACTTATCATTATGGAAATTCGTTTCTCACGACTTGACAAGGCATAATAATCCGCAATGTACAGAATGCGGCAAAAGTTTCCACTTCACCTGTCATCTTGTTTGAAATGGGTCACCACACCCACATGGCTCCACTTTACTGATCATATGATCTGAGAAGAGGTCTAAATTAAAAAATTCATGCTGCATAGCTCCTTACCAAGTGACCTGATAGAAATGAACTCATATAACAATTTTCTCATTAAAGGATTTTTTTTCAAATTAGTATTGGGAGTGTGAGGATGGATTAATTTTCTTTTCAGAGTAAACTCTTCATCTTTAAACCAAACTATGCGAATTTCTCCATCACAATACCTGCCTAGCAAATAAAATTTAATTGCATTTTTAGCAGAAGTATTACCACAACTCTGGTTTGATCACAGTATGCATCTCGTTGAAGAGTGGGCTCAAAATTCAAAATCTACCTTTTATTCACGTGATATCCAGGGGTAGTTACTCGTTTGACGACTTCATTCTTGCATACTCTTGAGATCATTGGCTCAAGAATGAACTGTATGTCAACAGTTAGTAGAGTCACTGCATGATTGGCACTGTCTAGTAAACACATTTGGAGTTGCTAGGGCAAGATCATTTGGAAATTTATGTTGTATAAATATTTTTGAGTGCTCAAACTTTTGCGTCATCCTTTCATTATTTTGGTTTTGATAATTTTCTTCACTCCACAAATTGCTCATAATGGTACGAATTGAGTTTGAAAATTGAACTCAAGAAACGCAAATTTCTCAACAAATTAGGTCAAATGTAACCATTCCACTTTTGTTTGGCCTAATAAAATTATAAAGAAAAAATTAAATTTTCTTTATGCGAAGTTGACAATTGTAACAAACATTATGGTAAAGAAAGTGTAGTGGAAGAGAAGAGAAACGATGACTGTAGTGGTTACAATACCAACCGAAGGATGCGATTTTATTGAGGTGAAAAGTGGGTCTGGAGACTCACAACTTTCAAAATCTTAATAGAGAAAGTGACTAACAGCTCAAGTTGAGCACGACTGCTTAGAAATGACAATGATGAAATGCCACTTGATGAGAGTGGTTGTCTTAGATTAGGATTTGACAAAATGTGTCACCTGGATTTGTTCGAAAGAGGGAGAGAGAGATTGACAGCTCAAGCTAAGCACGATTGGCCATGATAAAACGCCTGTTGGTGAGATTGATTGTCATGGGTAAGGATTTGAAATAAGTGAGTCACCGGAATTTGTTAATAAAGTGCGCGCTAATACAGATTCATTGGAGTAATTTGTAAGGCCATTAGGAATGGCAATAAACAAGGTGGTTTAATTCAATGATGTAAATCTTATTACATGTCCCTAAAATAGGGCCTTTTTTTTCTAAAGTGTCATAGATAATGATTTGGAATAAATAAATCACCTGAATTTGTTGCATAACGTAGAAGGTAGAACAGACTCAGAGTGCTCTGAAAGACTGCCAGAGAAGTGAGTAATAAATGGAATTGATGTGATACACCATGCAACAAAGAGGAATTGATGTTGTGTTGGTTAAAAATGGATGATGACGTTAAGGAGATCTTGAATCCCTTCGTTACATTCATCCATGCAAAAAGATCCACAACTCACAAATGGGGGGTACAACTGAAGTGGACTGAAGTGATTCCTCCTCTTCCTCTGTCGTTGAACAGATGAGAGCAGAAAGATAGAAAGAAAAAATGACTGAGAGCCCTTACTGAGTATATTTGCTTAAAAATGCCTATTGCGAGACCTCACCTGTTGGAGTTTACTGCACTAAATATGCATTTTGATTGCCTGAATCATGTGCATTTGGTGAACAATGTTAGAGGTAGCACAGACTACGAGGAGGAGTTTGAAATAGTGCCAGAGAAGGGAGCAATGACTGTGGGTGATGAGAAGACTCTGACTTGGACTTCTACTGATTACCTAAACGATGCAAAATGATGCACAACTGAAATGAACTAGCTGAAAGTGAACCGCTTGAGAAAATCAAAGTATGCAGAGGGCAATGTCAGGGCAACAAGAGTCCTTCCTCATTTGAAATTTGGATTCGATTAAAAAATCGGTAATAAACTGTGTTGATTAGGTAGGTCATTCTACTTGAATTCTTTCAGTTTACCTGAGCAATTTTGAGTGAGCACCCTGCCTACAATTCCATCCGCTATAGAATTGAGAAGAGAGACCGAACAACTTCACTAATAGCTGAGCATTGCTGCACATCGAGTAGTGGTCTCTTGTCTCACCAAACTCCACTTTGCCTATATCTCAAAGCCTTAGTTAAACTAAATTTCTGCTGTGCTTCAAATAACCTGCTCATTAATCACAATCGGTCCCCGTGCGCCGAAAAACACCGCTTTAGTTCCTGCTAAAATAAAAACGGTTGAGATGACTCGGCAACCTCTATATTTTTACCAAGAGGATATACAGGGATATCGGATTCGTTGCAGATACAGTAATGGAGTGAGTACCACAAAGGTAACAAAAAACGATCTTATGTTATCATTGCCTACTGAGGGAGATCCTATTGGCATAGAAATCAAATTTGGAACGATAAGGAAGATTCATTTCAAATGGCAGGCATTATGATATTATCACTAGCCCTTAAACATTGAATTCAGCTTTCCCCTTGAGTGGGGGGGGGGGGTACATTTATAGCAGTTAATTAATAGCAGTTCATTAGCTGTCTTCTTTCTTCCTAGTATCTCTCGGTTTCCGTCGTTGTGTTTGGGGCTGGAACGATAAGGAAGATTAATCATGAGAACCCAACCATCATCTTCTAATATTAGGGAGAATGGTATGTTTGTGTTCATTATTTTCTATTATTGAATGTGAATGATATTTCAATGAATATCACCTTAATCGTC